ATATGCCCGCAACCAAGGCACATGCCCTTGACTGGAATCCAACCCAGGACCCTTGAGTCTGCAGGCCAATGCTCTATCCACTGAGCCAAACCAGTTAGGGCAATTAATTCCCTTCTAATGTGCACGAATTTCATGCACCGGGCTACTAGTAATAATAATAATAATAATAATAATAATAATAATAATAATGTTTTATTCTCAAGGAGCTTACTTGGATATAATTTTTATATATTAGCATATTGTCATGGAAGTTTTAGTTTTACACTGAAAAGCACACCATTAATACCCTCAGCACCTATGACGAACACTTTCTTCAAAAGGGGGCCTGTTTTGCAATGTCCACAGTGCTACAGAGCGGAGAGGAGTCAGGTAACTGCATCCTCAGGTGCAGCCCCCACTACTCCTGAGTGAAACAATTGCTTTGGCGTGTTTGATTGCCTTTCCGTTTCATACACTTAATGTTACTTGTTTTAGATCAGCATCCCCCTTTCTGTAAAAGGAAGGATAATTATGGAGATCATTGAAGGAATGCGCTATTTACATAGAGAAGGTGTAATACACAAGGACCTAAAGCCTGAAAATATCCTCGTTGATGACAACTTTCACATTAAGGTAAGCCGTAATCCAAAGGCTGTAGAAGCTTGGGTGATTTTAGTTGTAAGTCTTCACTGTGAATCCATGTGTGTACATGGTGACTCAAAGGAAGACCTGCCTCGGTTTCTCATGGTGACGGCGGTGCCAAGGACTGAAAAGAAAGACACAGACTTGATGGAGTTTATATTTTTTATGGATTTATGTACTTTCATCTGCATTTTTTATGTTTCCTTTTGAAAACTCCAACTCTTTTCATCGCAGGAAAGGAAACGAGAAAGGGATTTTGTTGTTCACTTTATATTTAAGTAGGTGGGGTCAGCATAGCTAATTGGCTCTGGCAGCAGGGATCCAAGTGCAAAAATCTGAAAGGGGAAGAGGCCTAGGGGTGAGGACTGTGGGACTGTTTTCACAGACGTTCCTCTTTGCTAGAGGGTTCTCCTAACACTTCATCCTCGTCTTTGATGAGTTTTTATTCCTGTCTTAAGAGGAAAGTTCCTTCTTTACATTAATAACATATCTATTATGTTAGAATCTGTGGGTTTTACGTAACCACATGCCAGAATTCATCTGCAGATGCTGGATTCTTAGAGGCAGAAGTGAAACTGACACCTTTGATTTCTCAGTCACTGTATTGTTCTGTCGTTTTGCCCCGCCACTTCTTTCTGTTTTTGTGTCTGATGTTGGTGTTTTTCTCTCTGCTTTTTGTCAGTTTTTCTCCTCCTTCCCCTCCCATCTTCTCTTAGGTTCAGTTGAGGCTACCAACTCAACCCAGTAGCAGCACAGCCCTGTCCTCAGTGTCTTTGGGACCCTTGGAGACTAGCATCCATGGGCTTTCGGACACCGTTTTGGAAAATAGAAGGTGCAATACCTCATCACTGTCTGCTATGTAAGCATGCTCAGAAGAAATTATTGTTTTTCCTCCAGAAATAATTGGAAAACAATTGCACAGTCAATGAAAAATTAGGACGAATGTGTTTTGTTGTTCATGTCAGAAATGTCTTCTGTTTCACCTCCTTCCCTCCCCTCCCACCGACTGCTCCAGCAGATTTCCTGTTTTTTCCAGTTACATAAGAATTGAGATACTAGAACTTCACATGGACATTTCTTAAGGAAGGTTTTCTAAATGACTGAGAAAATACAAAGTTTCTGAGTCTGTTCAGAAGTAGCTATTTTAACACTATCCACTGCAACCATTTCTGGAAAGTTCACTGTGCCTCCAATCTATTTGGTGAGTCCCGAATTTCAAGACAAATTTGATCTGCTTGCCATCTTCATAGAACAATCCCGTTGGTTTGATCACTTGCAGATAGCTGACCTTGGCGTTGCATCCTTTAAGACGTGGAGTAAGCTGACTAAAGAGGAACACAATGAGCAGAGGAAAGCGGACAGTCTCTCTAAGAAAAATGGTGGCACCCTCTACTACATGGCGCCCGAGCACCTGAATGACATCAATGCCAGGCCCTCGGAGAAGTCGGACGTGTACAGCTTTGCCATAGTACTGTGGGCAATATTTGCGAACAAGGAGCCATATGAAAGTAAGACATTTATACAGGAGTGGGATTTGGGTATTCATCAAAATCATTAAATGAGATAATGGCTTTCAATGAAGTGAATTAAAATTTATAATGGTTTGTTCATTTAATGTCTGTCTTACCCACTAGACTTTAAGGTCTGCAAGGGCTGGGACCACATCTGATTTATTCTCTTCCATTTCCCAAGTATCTGCATACACAGTGCCAGAAACATAGTAGGTGCTCAGTAAAGTATTATTGACTGAATGAATAATTTCAGTTTAGGAATCAGGGGCCACAGGACAAACAGGAGCCGTGGTAATGCATCTAAGCTCAGGAGGTACTGTGAAATTCCAGGACTCTTCCTGGACAAGAAAACTTGCTGGCTTCTGCATGTGAGGACTTACCCTTTCGTCCTATAAAGCATGCATGTCAGATGACTTGCATCCATTCACTCCTTCATTCAAGAGTTATTTCATTTCAGAACCTCTGTGGGCATTTTAACCGGAATTGAGAATGTAAAGATGAGATAGACATGGTTCATGTAGAACAGATACATAAGTAGTCATTCTTCAGTATGTTAAGTGCCTAAACCAGGGGTGGGCAAACTTTTTGACTCGAGGGCCACAATGGGTTCTTAAACTGGACCGGAGGGCCGGAACAAAAGCATGGATGGAGTGTTTGTGTGAACTAATGTAAATTCAAAGTAAACATCATTACATAAAAGGGTACGGTCTATTTTTTTTTTTTAGTTTTATTCATTTCAAACGGGCCAGATCCGGCCCGCGGGCCGTAGTTTGCCCATGGCTGGTCTAAACTAACATTTTCCTACCCATTCTTCTTTGGGTGATTATGAGGTCCCCTGGTTCAGTGATCACCTCTTTGCCCATGCCTCTCAAATCTCTTATCTCTAGCCCTGGCCTAGACATCCACTTGTCTGTTAGAACTATACCATGTACCAGAGGAACCACAAAGCAACATTCCCCTCATGCAAATTCATCTACCTGCTCTCCAGTAGCCCACTCAGCTTTGCAGCTCTTGTTATGTTCAGCGATGGCATCACCATCCATCTGCTGAGTCGCCCAACCAGAAACCTTAGTCATTCAGCCTTGTTCCTCATCTCCCACATACAATCAGACATCCAAAATTACGAAGTCAAAGTATATATATGATTCAAGATACACCTTCAGTCCACCCACTTCTTTCTATCACCACTCGACTCTATTTAGTCAAAAACCTTCATATTTCTGCAGTAGGCTCCTCATAGGCACCCATCACTCACACTGCAGCCCAACTGGTCATCCCAAAAGAAAATATAATCATCTCACTGATCTGTTTAAAAAAAAATCTTACAAGAGACTGGGGCCTTAAAGATAAAGTTCACATTCTTCAGTATGCAATACTAGGCCCTTTCTGATTTGGCTTTTGCTTCTTTCTCTAGCTTTACTCCTCTTTCCTTAGGCAATATGCTCAGTCATACTGAACTACTCATGATTCTGGGATACATCATAATTTATGGAACCTCCAATCTATTTATATCCTACTTCCCTAGCCCGTAGTCATCCTCTCTGAGTCCTCCTTCCCCATTCCTACCTGGATAACTCCTTATTTTTCTGGACTCCACAAAGCTTTCTCTGACCATCTGGTGAAGGTTGTGTTCTCAGAACCTTGTACTTCCTGAGTAGCAATTATCACTCTACATTTGAAGTCACTCATTAATATTCCACCTGTTCTACCAGGAGGCAGCTTTCTTGTGAATTCTGTCTTTCATCTGCAGAAATTAAAATGTTGTGTGGCTCCTAGCCACAGGGCCCTTCTGCCCCTGTCGGAGGAGCAGCTTTACTAAAATTATGTCCCAGGCAGAGAGAGATTAGTGGCTGGTCCAAGTTCTGTCACCTCCCTGCTCAAGAAGAGCAGGACCTAAAAGAAAGTCTAACTGAGGCTCTTCTTTGCTTTACAGATGCTATCAATGAGCAGCAGCTACTCATATGTATTAAATCCGGGAATAGGCCAAATGTGAATGACATCATTGAGTACTGCCCAAAGGAGATTATCAGCCTCATGAAGCAGTGCTGGGATGCGGACCCAGAAGTGCGGCCAACATTTCTTGGTAAGGGCATCTTTTAGGACTGTGTACACTCACCAATGTGGTGGTTTTCCTAGTAAGATGCTATCAGGAAGTTGCTTTGAGTCTTCAAAAAACTGAGTTCCACTTGTGATTTCAAACTGAATTTCTAGATTTCAAACATTTTTTCTTCAATGAAAAGATGGTATTCCTCCAAAAATTTAATTTTTTTATAATTAACTTTTTATAAATTGTGTTAAAATATATATATATATCACATTAGTTAGCATTTTAACCAGTTTTAAATGTATAGTTAAGTGGCATTAAGTACATTCACAAAGTTGTGCAACCATCACTACCTCCATCCACAGAACTTTTTCATCTTCCCAAATTGAAATTCTGTCCCCATTAAACATTAATTCTCCTACCCCAGCCCTTGACAATTACCATTTTATTTTCTGTCTCTATGAATTTGACTACTCTGGGTTCCTCATTATAAGAGGAATCATACAGTATTTCTCCTTCTGTGATTGGCTTATTTCACTAAGAATAATGTCCTCAAGGTTCATCCATGTTGTGGCAGGTGTCAGAATTTTCTTTTTATTGTTGAGTGGTATTCACTGTATGCATATGCCACATTTTGTTTATCCATTCATCTGTTGATGGACACAACTTGGGTTGCTTGCACAGCCCTTCTTGTTTCTTAGCTTCTTTTATTTCTTTCCTTTTCCTTGTGTAGCTGGCATCTTTGGAGATGTATTTTGTCATTTCAATCAGGCCTATAGTGGAGGGAGAAGGAAAAGGCATGGGTTTGTCCCATTCCTCTATGTTACTAATGATCTCGCTAAGATCCTAGAGGCAGAGGAAAGAAGAAAATTGGGTGAAGAAAAAATAAATAGTAGGAAATCACTTAGGAGCCTTTAAAGCATTTGCCCTCCTGTGTCTGCTCTGAGAAAACAGAAATGATCCCCATCTACCACTTACCACCAGAGGATTAGAAGGGTCCTTTGATTTAGTGCCTATTTTCTTATTTGCTCAGTCAGCCTAAATCTTCTCCTGGCTTGATTTCTTTCCTCTCATGCCTTTTTCACTTTTTAAAAACTGAAGTTCTTATTTTGAGATAATTGTAGATTTATATGTAGCAGCTGAGACAGAGAGATAGCCCATGTTCCGTTTACCTAGTTTCCCCCAATGAAACATCTGGCCAAACTGTAGTACAGTGTTACAACTGGGATATTGAGAATGATACAGTCAGATACAGAGCATTTCCATCACAAGAGTCCCTCAGGTTGTCCTTTTATAGCTACACCCACCTCTCTCCCTAATCCCACTCCTTCCCCACTCTGGAAATCATTAAACTGTTCTCCATTTCTATAATTTTGTTATTTCATGAATGTTACATAAATGAAATCATAAAATACCTTTTGGTAATCTGTGGGATTGGCTTTTTGCCACTCAACATCATTCTTTAGAGATTCATCCAGGTGTGTGTATCAGTGATACATTGCTTTTTATTGTTGAGTACTATCCCATGGTATGGATGTACCACAGTTAGTTTATTCACTCCTTGAAGAACATCTGGTTTGTTCCCAGTTTGGGGCTATTAGGACTGAAGCTGCTGTAAATATTCATGTTACTGGGTTTTCTGTGAATAGAAGTCTTCATTTCTCTGGAATAAATACCCAGCAGTGAAATAGCTAGGTTATGAGGTAGTTTTATGTTTGTTTGTTTTTAAGAAACTGCCAAACTGTTTTCTAGAGTAGTTCTACTATTTTATATATTCCCATCAGCAATGTGTGAGTGATCTAGTTTCTCTCCATCCTTGTCCACATTTATTGTCGTATTTTTATTTTAGTCATTCTGGTAGATGTGATGTAATAGCTCATTGTGGTTTAAATTTGCATATCTCTAATGGCTAATGACGTTGAATACCTTTTCATGTACTTATTTTCCATCTGTTTATTTTCTTTGGTGAAATACTGCTGGTAGGTCTGATAGAATAATTGAATCGATGCTCCCTCCCCTAGGAACTGACCTTTAGGCCACTTCACAATGGACATTCCACTTGCTTAGACCACATTCCACCTGCTATTATCTCTCCCCTTGGAGTTTCCCAGAATCCCGAACTGCACAGAGAATTCTCCTCCCAGAAAAAGCCCACCTAGAGTCCTTTAAAAACCTCTGACTCCAAGTCCCTGGGGGCTCTAGTAAGATATATGGAGCCATTTTGGGGCTGAGCCCATCTGGTATCCAGAAAATTTAATAAATTCACAATTCTTCACCCCTTTTAGACTCATGCATTCCTCCTTCGGCGACCCTAACAATTGCTTTATGTCTTTTGTCCATTTTCTAATTGGATTGCTTATTTTTTTACTATTGAATTGTGAGTGTTCTTTATATATTTTGTGTAGTATTCTTTTGTTGGATATGTGGTTTGTACATATTTTCTCCCAATCTACAGCTTGTTTTTTCATTCTCTTAGCAGGGCCTTTCAGAGTAAAAGTTTTTTTTTTATTTCAATGAAGCCTAGTTTATTAATTTTTTTGTTTATGGATTGTACTTTTAATGTCAAGTCTAAGAACTGTCAGGGTTAGGTCCCAAAGATTTTCTTCTATGTTTTGTTCTAAAATTCTTACAATTTTACATTTAGGCCTGTGTTGTTAATTTTTTTTCTATGATTGTCAAGGAAAATTCTTCATTGCTAACAGAACAAGAGCACAGAACTAAATATTTGATTGTATTTCTTGCCGGTTACTCCTTTTATATCTTACTAGAGGCCCAGTGTATAAAATTGGGGGCGGGGGGTCCTCAGCCCAGCCTGCGCCCTCTCGCAATTCTGGACCCCTCACGGGATGGGGGTCCCGACTGTCAGTTTAAGCCCGATTGCCCCTAACCACTCTGCCTGCCTGCCTGATCACCCCTAACTGCTTGCCTGCCTGCCTTATCGCCCCTAACTGCCTCTGCCTTGGTCCCCGCCATGGTGGCTTCATCCAGAAGGATGTCCAGAATGACGTCCGGAAGGTTGTTCAGTTGTCCAGTCTAATTGGCATATTACGCTTTTATTATTATAGATGGTATTATAAACCAAGATCTGAGTACAAAATGTGCTATTTCTACATCAAGTCTTCCAAGCCATGAACACAGAATATCTTTACATTTAATTAGATCTTTATTTCCTACATCAGTTTTGTGGTTTCCCTGATGTAGATCCTGGATATATTTTTTTATACCTAAGTATTTCTATCCGGGGTCTAATTTTTTTTTAATTTTGAGTTCCAAATGTTCATTGATAGTAAATAGGAAATCAATTGACTTTTGTATGGTAACTTTGTATCCTATGATCTTACTATAACCACTAATTAGTTCCACAAGGATTTTTTGGGAGAGTTTTTTTACAAAGACAATCATGTCGTTTGAGAATAGTTTTACTTCTTTTTATTTCCTTTTCTTGTCTTAATGCACTAGCTAGGACTTCAAGTATGATATTGGACATGATATTGGGTATATCTGTGTACTTGTTATACTACATATTTTCTGAGTTCTGTCACTTCAAATCTTTTCTCCAAATCACTTTGAATTTTTAGGTTTATGCTGTTCTTTCCATATTCTATCATTTAAAAATTTTCTCATTAAAAATATTGGGTTATACTTTTCATCTATTTTTCTGCTTCATATTCATTTTTATTACAACTTTTAATAGGATTAAACTATGATCTTACTTTGTGGTATACTTTTAGGCTAAATAAGTTATTCTGTACTTTTAAGAGAGAGGAGTGAGTAGAGTATCTTTTCTAGTTAATGGTTCTAATCTAGAGCTTCCTTTCTGGTGTTTTCTTATTTGAGTTCTTCCTCCTCGTCTCTCCCACATTTATCTGGACCTGTTTTAATTTTTTTCTTTGCCTTTATTGTCTATATCGTGATTACTTTTATTTCTCCTCCTACAAGTTCCTCCTTAGTGTTGGGCTTTGTCCAAGAAGGGAGCTCAGGTTTAAGTTTTGAGAGTTCATAGTCCCCATACCCCCACATACACACCCTTCAGCACTTTCAGAGCTTCCTGCTCATTCCCTCGTACTCCCCCTGAAATTATAATCTGCCAGTTTTGCTGATTTCACATTGGTTCCCCTCGCCTTTCAGTGAATACCTGTTGGCAGTTTGTGGTCCTCCCATTCTTATAGCCTTCAGATGCTATGTTGTCTTTCTACTGTTTCCTCCTGCACAGATGTTGATACTGAGTTGATTTGTTCCCAGCCACTCATATTCTGAGCTTTATAAGAAATCTTTTTCACTTCATTTTGTAGCTATGATCTGAGCATGCTGATATTAGCGTTGTTTATCACACATGCTCTACCTGTTTCTATGAGGAGATTCAGACTACACTGCCTCTGTAGTCACCTTCCTAGAGTCTTCAATATTACTTGGGAGGGATGTGAATAAGGAATTGGAAAAAAAACTCCACTATTTTAGACCTTTCCTATAGCTTTGAAATCAATTAAAATTCAAGTTGAAATGATAGGTTGTTCCTGCTTTTACATAACTTTCAAGACATTTTAAAAAATTAGTTTATATTTGGTTTTCCTAACTAGAAATTAGGAAGCTTCCAATGGCTCCTTTTTTTCTTTTTTATTCTGGGCCAGCTTTAGCTCTGAGGCTCCAGCTCTTAGGCCTCCGTGCCTGAAAGCAGGTATCTGGTTTGTTTCGGTTCTATAATAGAAACTCTGTATCAACTCCAGCTCAGAGATCCCAGGCTCATTAAAAGCAGGTTTCTGGGGTTTTGTTTAACTTCTATATTTGTTAAAATGTTTCAAACTGCAGGCTTGTTAAAATGTTTCAAACTGCAGGCTCAGAGGCCTGCAAGGCAGGTGGGGAAGGATG